AAATAAACTGAAATAATCACATTCATTGATTATATAATTATAGTTAATATAATATAATAATAATAGTAATGATAATAATAATAATATAATTATACTATTAATATATTAAAAGTTTTTTTTGCTACTTTTGTTTATTCTAGGTCGAAGGTGTCGCAGTGTCCCTGGCAAAGAAAACTGAACTTCTTGATCATTTGTTTACTTTGCTTTCAAACCAAAAAGTATTTATGTAAGTAAACTACCATTCTTGACTTGACCACTAATAACTCCAATTTCCGTTAATATATGCATAGTATACATGATGTTATTTTTTCCATTCCTATAACTTGTTCACTGGGTTATTTCATTATTTTTTTTTTTGATTCGCTCAGATTATATAAGATGTTAAGTAAACTAACTTCATATTTTCTCTTTCTTTACAGGAATGCAACAGCAGTATTAGAAGACCTTCTTGCTGCAAAAAAAGGACTGATAGATTTAGAATGTCTTGGTAAGAAAGTCATTCAATCCAGTACAAAAAAAATCAGCTACCCAGTTTAAACATCACTAACTTGAATTTTACCAGTAAAAGGATTATTAGAAATTATTGGTGGTCACTAGTTTATCAATGATTTTAGTTCATGTCATGTCACTCTGAAAAAAAATCACTGTTCTGTTTTAAACTTTATTTTGTTTTTATCTTCAGGTAACCTTAGGCAATTGATAAGCAATCTCGATTCCAGTAAGCTGGCCAATTTTTGTCGAGTCTTGTCCTTTACATTAACAGACTTGGAAGCAGTAGAAGACAGGAGCACACGTAAGTGACTTTCAAAACCCTCAAATGTTATATCAATACTCTGAAACAACCTTTGGGCTGATCAGGTCTAGGGCATATGGTATTAATAGCAAGTAGAATTAATAGTATCTTGATATTTACATGATTTAAACTCTAACTAGACATGTTCAAGTGCCTTTTAATTGCATTCATTTTGTGACAATATTTTTTCTTTAATATTTTTTCTAGTGCTTGCACAAGATGAACAAGATAAAGAAGGTTCGACACAAAAAGATTTAGCTGATCAAAATCAAGGTACTCAGCTTTTAATAATTATTAGTAATTATTTTCTTATTGATTCTTATCCATTATATATATATATATATTATAGTTATGCCACTTGTCTGACTTTAGCTTTTGCTTTTCTATTCCAGGAACCTTGATCAGTTTTCCAGAATTTTTACCACGACTTGTGAAACTTGCTTGTAAATCTCTAAGTAAGTAAATCCTATATATTTAGTTCACTAAACTTGTGAAATAAATATTAGACTATTACACATTGCTGTTCCTAATTTCATTGCTTTCTTTTGTAATCTATTGACTATTACACATTGACAAGTATGTTTTATTTCATTTGGGTTAAATGTCTGTGCTCCAACATTTTTACATAACATGTTTGTGTAGTACATAACTTTTATTCTAGAACATTAGTTCATTGAACACCTTTAGTTTTAGTTGATATCAAATAAAGCCTTAGTGTAAATGATGATCTTGTCCAAGATGAACCATGTTAATTCAGTACCTGATGATGCCGTAGACTGCCAAAAGCTTGGACGAGAGCATTAATTAGTTAGTGTCAGGCCTCATTTGAAATCAACTAAATACTTAGACAATGTTACGATACCGAAAGACAACATTCAACCCTTAATCTCTTTTACTATAAGAGTAAAGTACAAGGAAGAGTTTGATATTAGTACTAGTGTTGTCAGATTACTTATTGTATGTTGTTGTTTGTTTGTTTACAGCAGAGTCTCCTGTTTGGCCCACTATTTTTGGCAACAACAGTGAGGGATTGATGGAATGGCTAGGGTTTCAAACCATCTTAGAGGATGTGCTCATCAACATGGATGATTCTACAGGTTTTTTTTTTTTGATTTTCTACTTAAAATAATTTGTTTTTATAGCATCATGGTTTGGAGCTGTTTACATTCATTTGACAAAACCTAAATATGAAATGCAGAGTCTGGCAACTTATGTAAATCTGATATTGTTTTAATCCGAAAAAAAAACGAAAGAGCGAAAAAAAAATTTAAAATTATAATGTAAATTAGAAAAGTTTGAATGAGAAAATATACCTGGCATTAATATTTATAAACTATTATCTTTATTTAAATTTCTCTTTTTATTTTTATTTTTTTGCAGCAGCAGAAGAAACATCCATCCCTTCAATAACTACATCCCTGAAATTAATGCATGAGGTAACTATAATCCATCTAGATTCATATCCCCTTGTGGGATACAATCGTTACTATACTATGTAGAGCTTTGCTCAAGTTGTTGATGTTTCATAATTTATATTAAATCGTTATTTTTTAATTTTCACAGGTCATGCATAAAGTTGAAGTTTTTTACGTTCTCTGTTTGTTCCTGACTGGAAAACATAAGCCAGCTGTAAGTACCTAATATTATTAATATTTGTTATTATTACTATTATCAATTAAGTTAGAAACCAAAACGTTTAGAGACATACGACTGTAAGTTTTGTTATCAAAAGTCCAATGTTGTTAGGGGCAAGTGTTTAAAAGTGAGGATACTGGTGTTGACGTAATAACCTTATGCCATTGTCCCTTACAAAATTGTACTTTTGATGGCAAAACAAAAATCTAATTACATTATTCCAAAATAAGGGTCCTTTTCCTGTCATCGCCATTAATTCATAATTATTATATTATTTTATAATCATTGACCCCAATACATATATATTTTTCCTTGCCTCGATTTTACATATTTGCCTTATACAACATCATTCATTCTTCTGAAATGAATACTATATTAAACTAACCATAAACTCTGTTTCTAGGTCCAGGAGCGGCTATCTGAACTTCATCTGATTCCTGGAATGTCAGACCTCTTTGACCATATCGTTTGGTTACGAAACACACCAACACGGCGAGAATTATTAGACATGGATGGTGAACAAGATTGTACACCGGTAAGACTCATTAATATTATCCTAATAAATTGCTAATAATAATTTTCTAAATTTATAACAATTTTCCAAATTTTGTGAAATTATCAAATCAATAATATTATTGTGCAGTCTATATCAATGAGTGTTATTAACAGTTATTTTTTGACATTTTTCAGGAAAATGCATTAAAGATTCAGTTTTTAAGACTTGTGCATAGTTTCTGCGATCGTCATGAGTAAGTTCATAGCTACATTAAGTTATTACAGTATTATGCCAGTTATTTTAATGGAACACTGTTTTATTTTAGATTTAAGATATTATTCGACTTGTCCATTAATGATAAACCTTTTTTGTGATGAATAGGAACAAGCATCTATTGATGACTGCGGCAGAATTAGATGAGTTGGAAGATCTTTACAGTAAGTATAGCAATATAAACTTTAAATTATTCTGAGTAACAACAGGTTTATGAATTGGACAATAGACTATCGTTGATCAAATTTAGTGCACAGCAATGAGAACAGTGGTAATACTTTTTCTAATTTCATCTTCAAACTTTTAAGTGTCTTGCTAAATTATCTTTCTCTCTTATTTTTCCAGGACAAAATGATGTAGAAATTCCCAGTGGAGTCCAAAACATTAACAGGTATTTTACAGTAGAATATAAGGACAGCAAACTACCATAATTGTATGGGAGGCAGAATTTGGAAAAAAAAGTATAACATACTAGTATGTTTACGATTTAAAGTGGGAGGAACTGAAAATTGAAAAGTTAGTGAATTTCAGCAAAATATCGAGGGGTTACACTCCCCTCTGCAATCCGTGTATGACTGGCAGTATGTTTACCATAATGACGTCATACAGACACATAATACTGTACTTACCATCACATTATCATTATCATCATCTTTATGATCATCAAGGCTCACAAAATATTGAATTTTTATGCTTTTGTAGGAAGCTCTGTTGCCAAGGAGACCGTGGACTTCTATCCAAAATTCTGGAGGTGCTCATCAAGACTCCACCGACTGCTGCCATTAGATTCTGGTTGTCTCGCGCCATTGAGGGGTTCCTAAGAGGTCGTGCATCCTTTGGAAATCAGTTGTTTCTTATCAAGCGTGGTCTTCTGAAGGTAAGACATTGTTCCATATTTTCCCCGGGATTTGATGAAATTTGAAAGATTTTTCAAAAATTGATGTTTCGAAGCCAAAACATGAGAAAATGTGATGGCCTACATTTTTCTGGATAAAATTAATTAAGAATATTTTCTTTTTGATTTCAGCATCTGGTAGAACACATTGGGAGCTCGGAAATGAAGCCAAAAGAAATCCTACAAAGCAGCTTTGATTTGCTTGGAGAATTAATGAAGTTTAACCCAATCGCTTTCAAGATTTTTAACTCTGTCATTGACGACAAACAGGTAAAGATCACATGCTTTCTGAACTCTTCTGTTTCTAATTCTCTGTTGCTAGGGTTAGCCTCATTTTTGTGAAATTCAAAGTGCTTACAAATTATTGTTCAAATTGTGCATTCTTAAATCCTTTTTTTTTTTTTTTTTTTGAATTTTTTGAATTTTGACACTGAAATGTGGCCAATCCTGAGTAAACAAGTCAGTAATCAAGGAAGACAGCAACATTTATGAATTCTATGTTACTGGTCTGTGAGCTAAGGGTAATAAATATGATTTGTAATTGTTACAAACACTAATCATCTTCAATCTTTTTTTCTTCTAGTTTGAAAAATTCACTCATATTTTGACATCAAATGTAGTGGACTCAAACATGCTTATTCGCTGCCTGATTTTGAGTCAAGAACGCTTCATGGAAGAAATGCCCTTTGGAGGTGAGTTACTTAAGAAAAACCATAATATATAATAACCAAATTTATAAACTATTACATACATACATACATACTTTATTCGTCCTCTATAAGGCTTTTCAGAATAAAGGGCCTAATTAATTACAATTAAAATAATACTATAT